CCGATCCGGGAATCAAACGCAGGGCTTGGCTTCTATGGGCGCAGGCAGGATGCCTGTTGAGGCAGTGCGGACCCGTTCCCGGAGGAATTGATGGGGGATCGGGCCCCGTTTCAGGGCCAGAATGCAAGCTTCCCCGCTGGCACATGCAGCATTCAATTTCCTGTACTTGTTCGAGCGGAGAAGAGCTGAGAAGTCTCATTTATACCATCCCATCTCTCCTCTGAAATACACGAGGGGACTCAGATATAGGAAAGGTGACACCCCCCCGGGCGGGGGGAGGTCTCCCGTCCCCTTTCCTCCTTGCAAGTGCCTTCCAAGGCGGCTCCAGTGGGGAGAGGAGGTTGTATGTGGCAAGCCTTTTTCTCACCAGTAATCCTTGACATTGATCCCTTTTTTAGTATTATGCACTATTACGTAACACACTTCCAGTACGATGAATATTTTCTGTACTGGAGAGAGAATAAGCTGAGCGATTCTTGTGGCTTGCACTTTTGTGGAGGTCCGAGTCGTTTTTGGGAGGAACCCCGGGAAGGGCCAAAATGGATAGAGGGGAGCAAACACTCACACGCGGGTCATTATCTTGAAAAAGAGTTGGAATGGCCAGTTTTGAACAGATGCTGTTGTTCTGATCAGAGTCCACATTGGAAAGCTGACTTAGCATTCCCTCTTTATGACACTGTTAGCTTTCGTATAGATCGTATCTTCCTTTGGCCAGCGGGCCTGGGGGGCCCATGCTGTCAAAATTTTCTGTTTGCCATCTCAAGGACCGTCGCTGAGAGATATTTCTGGTGCGACGTTTCTGGCTACGGAAGAGAACGCGGGAGTAAGTACATCCATGTTCCATCTCTCTCTTCATGTAAAGGGCGGCTTGATGGCCTGTGGCAGCGTCGTTCTCCTGAAGCTAGAGCCGCCTGGGAAAGCCCTTCCCTTTGGTTCTCAATGTGCATGCAGTTTTACCGATCTTTGTTGTTTGACGGGGGCCATCTGTCTGAGTTAAATTGGGGAGCGCAATGTTGAGCACGAAATCATTTGGTGGGGTAGAGGCCGACGTTCTTCCTTAGTCTTCCCCCATGCAGTGGACGGTCCACCTCAGAGGGCCCCGGGAAGAGTCTCACATGAAGGCCACGTCTCGTTTGCATCTGGGGTTGACTGCTCCAGGGCCCCGAGGACACCGACCGGGCACTTGATCTCCCAGAACGTTCATCAGAGAAACGACGAGCATCAGACCGTGATCGACGACGTGTTCTCTGCTGGAGATGGAGAGCGGCAGACAGGCTGATTCACGCAAAGTGAGTGTCTGATGTGCTGCTGCCAAAGCCCTTGGCATCAGAATTGTTTCTGCGGACGCAGCCCGTGTGAGGAAGATGCCCCCTGGCACCTCCCTTAAATCTTTCCTGTTGACATTGCCGACGTGGCATCCTTTTAATAGGTTCCCTGATGTACCTGCCGAAGCTGCTGTCACTCCTTCCGTGCACCATGTCCCGGGAGGTGGAAGGAGGCCACCCCCCCNATCTTTCCCGTTGACATTGCCGATGTGGCGGCATCCTTTTAATAGGTTCCCTGATGTACCTGCCGAAGCTGCCGTCACTCCTTCCGTGCACCGTGTCCCGGGAGGTAGAAGGAGGCCACCCCCCCAGATACATAAACAGCAGCGCCACAGTCCTCCAGATTGCTTTGGGCGCAGCCCCCCACGTGTTCAGGCAGGAAGAGCGCCTGCAATTCCCATGGTCCCGCGACGGGCTGGGGGAACACGCGTGGCTTAACATGCGTAGGCTTCCACCGCGCTCCATTGTCCTCACCCTTCGGGATCCTGCTCCACCGCTGTCCAGCCTGTGATTTTGCGCAGCCTGTGCTGATGACGACTGGACAATGCTAACCACCCCTCTTAGGTTTTGACCTTTCAGGGAGATGCTGGCAGTCCCGTCATTCGTGAGGCCGATGCCAGGAAGGAGCTGCGTGGGACCGTCAGCGGGGCGCTAGCCGTGCCGAGAAGGAGAAACCCGCAGTCTAAACGGGGGTGCCTCGGGTCGCATCGCACCTGAATGGAGTCCGAGACAGGACCCACCGCCCT